TGAATCAGCACGTGAGATATCCTCCCCTCCCACCCATGGCTGACCTTGGTAGTGGGTGTAGACTTCTACTCTGACACACATAGTTTGCTGATAATGAGGGTAGACATCTCATTCCTCTGTGAGCTGACTACCACCTTAAGGCCTGGCCACCTGGGCCAGCACAGAGGCCCTGTCCTTATCTAGCAGCTATCAGAAGCTAGCCTTGCTCAAGTGTTACGAGGACCCACTAGCTTCCATAATCTGCTCCTTGCACCAGGCCATGATGCCACCTGGAATTGGCTTTTCTTTCCTGGTCATATGAAGAGAAGCAGAACTGATGACACATTTTCCATGTGTGCCACTACTGGAAGGGTTTCTCTTTACCACCCTGTGTAGTACCTACAGTTCTATTAGTCATGCCTTTGGGTTTAAGACTTTGATTGCTAAAGGCCCTTGGGAGATCAGGGCCCCACCTGGAAAGTGGGTGGGTGGGTGATTCCCTGTAGTTGTCAGGTTAGTGACTCTGCATCTGGTGAACAAGGGAGGGAGGGATATGGAGAGGGTGACGAAGAGAAGTTGAGGGAAGCTGAGTAGACAGCTTTTTCACCCCAGTCTCTCAAAGAAATCCTGAAAAGGGTTCTAGAGAGACAGTATCATGGTGCGTAGCAGAGACTGTGAGCCTCCTTTGGGCCAGTGGCACAGTCTCCCTGGACTCTGAGACTCTTAGCTTGGTGGCTGTTTGGATGCCTGCCCTTCCACCTTCACCTGTATGGTGTGAGAGTCTAAAGAGTAAGGAGCCTAGGTTAGCTCTTGGGCCCCGAGTGGCCCTTCACTCTTCTATCTGCCAGTGTATGGTCAGGTGAGGGTGTGAGTGGACCTGGCAATGCAAAACGGGGCACAAGTGTGGGAGGAGGATCCTGCCAGATGTAGGTCTCGAGTCTGTAGTTGGCCGGGCTCCTTGGCTGCTTGATGCAGGCATTTCCTACTGGGATGCCCACATTCCTGCCATTCTCTCTGCCCACTTTCCAAGGGCTCCTGGAGGTTAGCATTCAAGACCAATGGGTTCAGTGGGTCAGGGCCCTGCCCTTGTTGTTCCTTTTGTGCACCACAGCCCCCGCTCCACCCTCCCTTAGCCTGCCCTCCTCTTCAGTCGAAGCTATGGGGATGGCAGGACCAGATGGCAACAGCATCCAGAGAGAATGAGAGGAGAAAGGATCCTCCATTAGGTGGGAAAACCCACCATGCAGAGGTCCCCACTTGCCACAGTCAGCTGTACGGGCAGTGATGGGAAAACAGCCACTGGAAGGAATCAGGCTTGATTTCTTGATTGTTTGATTATTTTAAATGGGATCAGAGCCCCTTGGGCCCCCTGGCTCTGGTGTTGAGTCTATGAGGCCACCTCCCCAGCCAATCTTCCCAACCCTTATATCTGACTAGAGCTGGAGCTAGGCCTTGTGGGCTCTGTACTGTGAGGAGGTGAGGACTCAGGGGCTATGGAGACCAGCTAGATATGGGACAGCCTGAGTGTACTCTTGCTCTGTTCAGCAAAGCCGGGATTGGCTCTGAATCACATGGGGTGGGGGTGAGTTTTCTTGTGCCCAGCTTGCCTTGGGGCCATGTCCTCCCTATGTGTCCCTAGCCCCCTCCCCTGCCTGAACCCCCGGTTATTTTGGGAGCTTTTAGCTACCACTTAGTCAGCCACTAATGCGTCAGGCCGGAGAGTGAGGGGGGAGACACGGTGCCAGACGATGCTCCTTTTAGACAAGCAGGATGGAAAGGAAGCAGGGGGAGCCAGGAGGTGGGAGGTGGGGGAATGCCAGAGGATGGGATGCATTCCCACTCTTGGCCCTGCTCTGTGAGAGCAGGCAGCAAGGGGAGACTGATAGGCAGTGGGTCAGTGTGTCCTTGGGCTGGCTGTACCTTCCTTCCTCCACAGCTTGAAGTCCATCTTCTGGATTCTTCTCTCATTAGGTCTCTGTCAGGCTGCAGCACATGGCCTCTGTCATCTGGTACCTACCCTCCAGTGAGCTTTCCCATCTTTGTTCTTGCTGTTTCCTCTGCCTGGGCCTCCCTTCCCTTTCCTGGCCCATCTAATTTTTATCTGCTTCTCCGTCCCTTTGGATTCGGCAAGAAGGATGTGTTTAGGTATGTGACACTTAGCCTAGACCTTTCTAAGGTAGATTTCAGCTTGCTCAGCACCTACCTAGGCAGGGCCTTGAATCTCTCTGTTTCCTGGCCCAGTTCTCTCTGAGGTGATCCTGGCCTTGAGGGCTTGCTGCTGCCCTCACTTCCAGGCAGCCCTCCTGCCCAGAGCCCCCAGCCCCCCGCTCCTGCTGACCTGAACAAAGCTTTCTTTCATGTATTCATGGAGCTGCTGCCGCTCTGACACTTCCCGGGCACAATCAGGCCCTTTGAGGGCCTCGGGCAGTGCGGGAGTCCAGGCTGGGGCTGGGGTGGATGATGGGCCAAGGTCTTGTCCTGGGGCAGAGCTGGTGCCATCCCCCCAGCTTACCCCCTAGTCCATAATGCATCACCAGGCACAGAACTGGGAGGGGCAGGAACCTGAGTGTCATGGGGTGGGGAATGGTCCTAGGCTTCTGTTCATTCTGCAAAATGGGGCCGGCAGTCCTTGCCTTTCCCCATCCCCACCCCTCTTGAGGGGGGCAGGCTTGCAGATCAACACAGAACCACCCTGGCTGTAGCACTGTCTCCTTTACTCACTAGCCAGCAACCCTTTCCTGCCCTTTATATCTTCAGTAGGTCCTCTGGGAGCAGCCCTGGGCCCTTTACTGAGACTATCTGCTTAGTGAACTTTCTGTGGTGTGACTGTCTTCATGCCTCACACTAAATTCCTAAGGATGGTCAAGTCTCTACCTCAGATCTTTCCCTCCATACTTCCCCACTCACCTTTGACTCCTTCATCAGGACTGCTGACCTCCAGACAAGGGTACGTTCCCTGACCCCCTCTGGAGCCTTTCTCCCCAGGAGTCTACTTGTACCTTGGCCTTGCCTGTCCCTCCCCCTGAGGCCTGGGGCTGTGGCATTGATGCAAGTGCTTGAGAGCTAATGAAACCGGTGGAAGTGGCCAGCACAGACTGAGGGTGCTTCTTTCCCTTGGCCTGTAGGGCTATGGGTCTCATTAACCCAACATCTCCAGACACAGATTTGGACATTCCGTTGGCTACCAGACTGGTTGTTGGGAGAGGTGAGAGGGAAGCTGTGCTGTGTGGGCCCTGGGGCTGGACTGTGGGTAAAAGGGGAGCCGTGGCAGTTGAGTCAGGAAGATCCAGTGTCTGCAGGCTGCTGACCCCAGCACTCCAGTTTTATCCCTGCTTAAAGGGAGCTAAAGCAAGTGCCAGTGATCTGCTAGCATCCAGCACCCTTACCCAGACAATGGCTCAGAGCTGGGCTTTCAGTCCCTGTCCTGCATATCTGGGGTTAATGAAAGAAAGCCTTTGGCCTGGGGTGTAAAAGGTAGGGTGTCTGACCTTGGCTGAGCTGCTGGATCAGGTTGTTTGTGGAGTGCCCCAGGAGAGCCAGGCCAACCAGAGGGCAGCAAACTCAGCACTTCACTCTGTATCCAGTCAGGCTCACATCTCCAGGAATGTTCCCAAGAATTGATACTGTCTGGATGAACCAATCTGTCCTGTTCGATGCTGTGACCTTGGGGTAGGCTGTCTCCCAGGGCCCTTGGTTTCCTCCTCTATTCGGTGAGCCAGGCCACAACAGAGATGCAGAATTCAAATACTCCCACTCCCTGCTGGAATCACTTGGGCCTTGGAAAAGTGTGTGTTCAGGAAAGGGGGAAAAGGAGTAGGTTGTGCACCGTGTGCTCTAGCCATCCCTTGTCCCTGTTAGGTGCAGGATCAGTAGGAACAGCTCAAGTGGCAGGCAGCAAGAGGGATTTAGGGCAGACCTTGAGGAACTGGCAGGGTTTTTTTCTGCCGGGACTGGGTCATGTCCTGCTTGGATATCACTGCCAAGTTGGCTGTCCCAGAGTTTGCTGCAGCTGAAGAAACAGTGGTCAGACCAGGTTCCGGGGTGAGGCCCAGACTGATCAGAAGTGGAGGGACAGTGGCTGTGGTTGATTGCTAAGGGCATAGCCATAGGCTATCCCATCCCTATAATTTAGTCCTGCAACCAGGACAACCTCAGCAATGTCACCCGAGATGAGACAGCTTCTCCCTGGGGGTGGTAGCTGCAGACAGTTTCTTTTTTGGGACAAAATTGCCCTGGTCAGCCCTTCTGAAAGTCCCTCTCCCAGACTTGTTAGGAAGGGAGAGCTGATCCTGAGCCCCTGAAGAAGCTGGCGTCTGGGTGGGTGAAGTCAGGCTAGAGCCCAGATTGGGAGACAGAAGCATGAGTGCTGATTTAGAGCCTGCTACCTACCTGCTTCTGTGTATCCTTGGGCTGCCTGTCCCTTAACTTGTTTCTCCAACTATGGAATGGGAGGGTGTGGATGTTGAGATTTGTTGCCACTCTGAAACAATACCCTCTAATGGGTTGGGGTGAGCCCAGGAGGAGTTGTAAGTGCATTCTTGAAAGAGTGCTTGGGGTTCTGAATAAAGTGGTTCCTGGGGTTCTGGACTCTAAATGGGATGCCTAGAGGCCCTGCTGCTTGCTTCTGGAGAGGCTGAGATAAGGGGGCTGCTTGCTCTGTCTTAGGGTAGCAGAGAACCTCACAGTACAGAGCTGTTGGGCATTGGTCTTCCTGTGCCTGCCCAGCCCCTCAGGAGTATGTGTTTGTGGGGAAGGAACTGTTTTCCCCAGAGTCCCCAGACCATTCCCTGCCCTGAGGCAACACACTTTGTAGGGAAGGGACCATGGCTGCTCTGGGTGAGGAGAGCTGACGTCTGGAACCCACCATGGTGTCCTTTACTTCTCCTGCCAATTCCAGGCACCATCCCAGCTATACTTTGTTTCTAAGCCCTCAGTGCCCTAAGCATTAGCATCTGGTACGCCTGGGGATTATTCTCAAGGATCCCCTTGCTCAGTGTGTTTCTCTCTTTCATGTTGCACAGGGCAGGACCACGTGGACTTTGGCCTACCTGAGCCACACACAGTGCTTTTTCATGAACCAGGCAGCACCTCTGTGTGGGTGGGTGGCAGAGGCAAGGTCTATCTCTTCAGCTTCCCAGAGGGCAAGAATGCTTCTGTGCAAACGGTGAGCCTGGACCTCCTCTGCCCTTCCTTTCCCATCTTTCCTCTTCCTTGTCCTCTGGCCTTGGGGAAGAGTCCTTAGGGAATTTGAGGGAGGTGGTATTCCTTCCTGAAATGGTCTTCCAACCTCCATAACCTCATACATGTTTCCTGTGGGAGGCTCCTAAAGCTGGTCCACATTGAAGTCAGGCTATGAAGTGAAAAACTGGGAGCTAACACACATGTCAGGCAAGTAGTACTGATGGGAGAATGTGGGCAGGAAGCTGGGCTCCAGAACCCATTACCTGCCTTCTGAGATTGCTAGGCTCAGGCTCCTGGTGTCAGACTGAGGAGCCCGTGAGATCTTGGGGAATCTGTTCACCCTCTCCAAGTCCCAGTTACTTCCATGTAAGATGAAAATAATAGTCTTTTCCTCCAGGTCTTGTCCTGTGGCTGCATGAACAGCATTTCAGGGACATCTTGCCCTTCAGCAAGGGACTAATGCTCTTCTTCCTCCTCCAGGTGAACATTGGCTCCACAAAAGAGCCCTGCCTGGACAAACAGGTGAGTGGAGGGAGGGGTTTTGGAAGGGTACAGGCCTCTTGGAGAAGAGGGAGAAGTCTAAAGGAGGAAGAATGGCTCTACCCAGATTGATGGGGAGGTTTAGGCTGTCCTAGTGGTCCCAGTGTGACGGGGAGACATGGTCCTCTAACACAGGTCTGGTGCATAAAGGGTGGAGTCAGCTACCTCTAGGCTATCCTGGAGCTGCCACCTGCCCTCAGCCCTCTGGATGTCTTCTCCAAGACCGAAGATCCTAGTGCCTACCTACCCTTCTCCTTCCCCATGCAGGACTGTGAGAATTATATCACACTCCTAGAGAGGCGGGGCGATGGCCTGCTGGTCTGTGGCACCAACGCTCGGAAGCCCAGCTGCTGGAACCTGGTTAGAACCCTTCCCATGTGCCTGAGCAGTTCCTGTTTCTTGGGTGGGCTTCAGCCCCTCATGGCTAGATAAAGATGGGAGATTCTGAGATTGGCCTTTCCCTGAAAGGAATCTGGGAGAATCGGCTCCTGGCTGAGAAAGGGGGCAGTGGCTATGCAATCATGTGCCTCTCTGATCTCTTCCAGGTGAATGACAGCATGGTGGTGTCACTTGGTGAGATGAAAGGCTATGCTCCCTTCAGTCCAGATGAGAACTCCCTGGTTCTGTTTGAAGGTAGGGCAGCTCTGTGGCAGAAACCCCAGGAGGGTATTGCTGCACCAGGCTCAGAGCGAGGGTGGGTCAGCACCTTACCCAGAGGCCAAGCCTGGGAAAAGGACTTACAGGGGCTGTTTGCCCTTATCCACATGCCCTCCCACTATCCTAGGGGACGAGGTGTACTCTACAATCCGAAAGCAGGAATACAATGGGAAGATCCCTCGGTTCCGCCGCATCCAGGGCGAGAGCGAACTATACACCAGTGACACTGTCATGCAGAGTGAGTCAGATTCTGATTGGGGTGACAGGGGACTATGGGGTGTGAATGCTCAGGGCAACAGATGGGATCTTGATGTTTCCTGGGAGCATTCCCTGAGGGCCCAGAACTTGGCACAGACCTGAACAGCCAGTGCTGAGGAGTTTGAGTTGTGAGAGAATCATAAAGACAAAGGTGTGGAAGCCTGATGGGTCTGAACTGCTCAGGGAACAGAAGAGGCAGCTTATACCCAGTCGGGGAGGGAAGGAGACAAAGTTCATCCTTCTGATGAGCCCATGTGGGGAAAGACTGCCCCACTGCCACACCTTCTTCATTAAGGCTCTGCTGATTAGACAGAAGTGACATAGGGGCCCCATGGGACTTCCTCAGTCCCCAGGCATGAAGTCATTGCTCCTGGGCCCATGACATCTTTGTAGGAGAGGTTATAACAGGAGTAGTGCATCAGAATCTAGGGCCTCATAGGGTCCTAGGTGCAGTCCCAAGTTTGTACAGATCTGGGGAGAGGTGTTTAAGATTGAGTTGGGTACCCCACACAGGCTTCTAGTTTCATACCCCATAACTCATGTTCCTGGCAGACCCACAGTTCATCAAGGCCACCATTGTGCACCAAGACCAAGCCTATGATGACAAGATCTATTACTTCTTTCGGGAGGACAATCCTGACAAGAACCCCGAGGCCCCTCTCAATGTGTCCCGCGTGGCCCAGCTGTGCAGGGTGAGCAGATATATAAGGGGTGGCTGGGTGAGCAAGAATGTGTCTGTACATATGCAGTTAGGAGTGAGTGCCAACTGCTGTGTGTGTGTGTGTGTGTGTGTGTGTGTGTGTAAAACTATGGGAGGGAAAGTGTACACATGGGGTATCATGTGTTTGTAATTGTGGTTCAGCTTGTATTCATATTGGATGTGCAAATATGTGATACATAACTGCCAGTGTGTTTACCTGTGTAGTACTTGTATGAGTTGTGTGTGTGCACATATGTAATCGTGACAGATATGTGTCTGAGCCTGTCTGTTTTGCTAGACATAGCCTACTTAACTACAGGGCCCACTAGACTGGAGCCCACCCAAAAGCCTGTCTGAGTCTCTGCATACTCCTGTCCCTCACAGCCTGCCCAGCCACTCAGTAGCCTGGGTGCTTGCATGCCTGGCAGCAGGCATCTCAGGTGTGTTGGACAGCCTAGGCAGGCACTGAGGGGCCTCCTCTGCTCTTTTTCTTTCTAGGGGGACCAGGGTGGGGAGAGCTCACTGTCAGTCTCAAAGTGGAATACCTTCCTGAAAGCCATGCTGGTGTGCAGTGATGCTGCCACCAACAGGAACTTCAACCGCCTGCAAGATGTCTTCCTGCTTCCTGACCCCAGTGGCCAGTGGAAGGACACCAGGGTCTATGGTGTTTTCTCCAACCCCTGGTGAGTGACCCTCATTAAGGGGCTGGGGCTGGCATTGGGTCTGTGTTCCGGAGGGATCCTAGGGTTTGGCCCTGTTGAACAATAGCTAATGGCATTAGCAAGGACTGAAAATACACGGACCAGGCCATTACCAGATGTGGGAGTGGGGAGGTGCAGCCATTGTGATGTGTGCACAGTTGTATTTTTGCATCTGTACACACGGTGTGTGGACATGGATCATGTGCGTACTCCTGCCTATGTGTCCTACCATGTGTGCTTCCAAAGCTGATACTAGACCCTGGGAAAGGCTGAGCAGCCTCTCCTGGGGTGCTGGGTGCTATCACACCTGCTCAGGCACTATTTGTGCCTGATAATTCACACTCTTTAATCACTGTTATTGATTGAAAACAAGGCAGACAAAACTGTTCATGGGGTGCCTGGGGAGGGATGCCAAGACCTAGAGGTCCGAGCTCCTGAGGCATCAGCAGCCCTCTGCAGCCTGTGCTTGGATGGGGCTAGAGAGTGACTCAGCCCATAACTTGCCTTAGGTTGGGTAGAACAAGTGGCCTCTGATCTCAGTGATGCTGTAACAGAACCCAAGGTTGTGGTTTTAGACTGCAATAGAGAGAAATTAGGTTGAACTTCCTTCTCTGTTCCTTCCTCCTTCCGTCCCTCCCTTGTTTGAAAAGTGTTTGATAATGCTGTGCTAGGCACTGGGCTCTGCTCCAATAACAGTCGCAGAGCTTGCAGGCAGGGAGCTGTGGTTGTGCCCTGTCTGGCACGGGGCTGGCCAGGGTAAGTGGAGGTACATCCTAAGCCACCGACCAAGGTCGTCTGTGTGTCACTGCAGGAACTACTCAGCTGTCTGTGTGTATTCCCTCGGTGACATTGACAAGGTCTTCCGTACCTCTTCACTCAAGGGCTACCACATGGGCCTTCCCAACCCTCGACCTGGCAAGGTGAGCAGTTAACCAACCACAGTCCAGACCCCAGCCCTTCATGGTCCCACCTTCCAGCCACCCACTAACCTGGTCCTGCTCTCTTTCTTAGTGCCTCCCAAACAAGCAACCCATACCCACAGAAACCTTTCAGGTAGCTGATAGTCACCCAGAGGTGGCACAGAGGGTGGAACCTATGGGGCCACTGAAGACGCCATTGTTCCACTCTAAGTACCATTACCAGAAAGTGGTCGTCCACCGCATGCAAGCCAGAAATGGAGAGACCTTCCATGTCCTTTACCTAACCACAGGTGAGGGTTTGACCTTGGACTTCATGGTTTGCTTTGTAAAAATGGATATGAATGGTGTAAAGAAGTGTGTAGGTGATGTTTGCCTGCACCTTTAGGTGTGGAAGAAGAACTGGGTGGATGGAGCTGTCAGGGGTTAGTGTGTATGGCTATAGAACCTTAGGTAGGGAGGGAGGGCTTCCTGGAGGAGGTGGAGCAGAGGGAAAAGGGAAGGGATCCTAGGTTGGGAGAAGGGCATGCACTGAGGTTTTGAAGCAAAAATGGGAGTGAGCAAAGCCGGGTGCAGCTTTGGTTCAGATACTTGACTCAAGAGAGAAGGTGGTGGGAAGAGATGTGAAAAGCCAAGGGGAAGGCTTAAGCACTGGACTTCTTGGGAGCCTATGCAAGACAGAGTAAGGACTATGGACCCTCCACCAGACTTTGGGATTATGTAGTGAGATGAAACGTTTGAAGAGTTGGTAGAACTCAAATAATTTGGTGCCATGTAAGGAAAGAGTTGCAGAAGGCAGAGCCTTATAGAGGCCTAGGGAAGCCTCTCTCCTCTTTCTTTCTGGAGGGACCTCCCTGAGGGAGGTTGGGTGAATGCTCTAGGCATTCTGGAAAGCTTCTGGACACAGAGGCACTAGCCCTGAGCTGAGTTTGTGGCTACTTCCTCATGTCAGGTCTTGGCCAAAAGGGGGTCCTCTGAGTAGCCTTGGAGACTATTGTGGGCCTGGCTACAGATCTTTCTGGTGACTGGAAAGGACCCTACACCTCTGGGACCACTCATCAGAGCACAGGCTCCATCCCTCAATTGTTCATATTCCCTCAAGTGACTTCCTGTTGTTGCTTTGCCTTGGGACTGTCTTGGCCATACTAGCCTGATTGGAAACTGGAACCCTAGGACCATTGTTTGGCTCCTAGAAATCTCATGGAGAGAATTTCCCACAGGGCATTGGGGACAGGGAAGGAGAGATCATACAGTGTAGGACTGGGAGCAACAGCCAGGATCAGGGAAGGCTGGACTTGAATCCAGGGAACCCTTACTCTCTTCACATGGCTGGGCTACACACACACTCAAGGATTAAGAAGGGAGTTGCTGTTTGCCCTGTGGCCCAAGGGAGAAACACCATTTTAGTCTTGTAGCATCTGGAAATACTGGGGCCAGATAAAAATAAAGAATTCTCTGAATCCTCAACAGAGAATGTGAGCCCTCACAATTGGGATTGTCCATGTGTCTGTGTCTGGGGGTGGGGGTGGGGGTGGGGCCTGGGTTTGTCAGGTCCAAGGAGACTTTGGCCACATTTCAAAGCCTGCAGTTGGATCACAGAGCCTAGAGGAACTGTCCCAGGCAGGCATCATCTGACTGCTTTTGGGGGGCAGGTGATGCCCTGGGAAATGGGGAGGGAAGGTGAAAGGGAAGAGGCTATTCTAGAAACTGGGACAGCAGGTGAGGTGGCATTAGGAGGACTAGGGTCAGGATACCCATTAATCCCCATCAGGTGCCAGTGGAAAGAATGCTGGTCTAGCAGACAGCCTGGTTATGTGACCTTGGGAGTTCTCATATGGAATCTACAGTTCTTTTCAGATCTAAGATTTTGCAGAAATTAAAATATCCCTTAAGAATAAATGCAATGTGAAGTCCTGGATTGGCTCCGGGAAAAAAAAAGACTTTAGTGGAAAAACCCGTGAAATCCAGATGAAGTCTGTAGTTCAGTGACTAGGAGCACACCGATGTCAGTTGCTTAGTTGTGACAAAAGTACTCTGGTTATGTAAGATTTTTGCATTAGGGGAAATTGGGAGAAGGCTAGACAGGGACTCTGTATTATCATTACAACTTTTCTTAAAATCTAAAATGTTTTCAAAACAAACAATTAAGGACATTATATCCCCTAAGAGCCTTTGGATGCTGGGGAGTTGTAGAAAAAGTGAAGGGTGGGGCTCTGACTGGGTTCCAGCTTGGTTCCTACTGTTCATCCACTGTGTGACCTTGAGCAAGTTTCATAGGCTTTCTGCACCTTCATTCCTTATCTGCAAAGTGGGGGAGACAACTCCTACCTCAAAGGGCAGAGGAGGTAATATAAGATGACAATCCAGGTTTGCTTTTTAATTTTACAGGCTCCAATAAGCCTTTGGCGTATTGGGGTCCCTCTCTAAGGGGTGCTAGGCCTCCTGGGATGGCCTCCCGGGATCTAGCTTTGGAAATTTTCAAGTTGCCCTTGGGTTCCACGTTCCTTCCCAGTCACACTGTCTTTATCCCACCCTACCTCAGTCCTGCGATCATCACCTGAGCCATGACTTCCTTAACCCTCCACACTCAGTATCTTTTTCCTGGCTGCCCAGCCTTGAGAGAGCCTGCCTGACTGATCTGGGTTTCTGTCTCTTGACCCTCTGCCCACTACTCTCAGACAGGGGCACCATCCACAAAGTGGTGGAGTCAGGAGACCAGGAACACAACATAATTTTCAACATCATGGAGATCCAGCCCTTCCACCGTGCAGCTGCCATCCAGGCCATATCTTTGGATGCTGACCGGGTAAGCTGCCCTATGCTACTCTGCTCCCTTGGGACCACCCCGACAGCTGGCTGAGGACAGGGCTCCTTTGTATGCAGTTTGTAGGTCTTTTCAAGGCCCCCAAGGTGGCAGGATTCCATCCATTGGGGTTGAAGACTCGGAGGAGGGCCCTGGCCTGATCCAGTCGGCTGGCCTCAAACTCACAGAGATCCACCTGCCTCTGCCTCCCAAGTGCTGGGATTAAAGGCGTGCGCCACCACGCCTTTTTTTTTTTTTTTTTTTTTTTTAAATCAGAGGAAGCTATATGTGAACTCCCAGTGGGAGGTGAGCCAGGTGCCCCTGGACCTATGTGAGGTCTACAATGGGGGATGCCATGGATGCCTCATGTCCCGAGACCCCTACTGTGGCTGGGACCAGGACCACTGTGTGTCTATCTACAGCTCCCAACGGTATGTTGGCCAAATCCTTTGGTCCCAGGAGAAGGTGGACATGGCAGTGGGGTGGCATTGAAGGGCTGCGGGAGGATCATTACAGGGTCATTCTGGCCTGATCTTCCTCTCTGGAGTGCTGGGGTCAGGTGAGGAGGGAGGGGTGCTGGGCTGCACATCTGCTGAGGCTCGCTCCTCCTTCTACTTCCAGGTCAGTGCTGCAGTCTGTTAATCCAGCTGAGCCACACAAAGAGTGTCCCAACCCCAAACCAGGTATCTCCTCTGGCTCTACCCATGGGCCCTAGGCTTGTGAGGGAAGCATAGTTATCACTCAGTTGCCTCAATATGCAGGAGGCATGGCCTTGACCTAAGGTCCCTGGACCATGTTCTGCCAAGAGAACCACTGTGATGTAGGGCTGCTTATGAGAGGGCTGGGATGAGGGTGAAAGGAAAACACAGGAGAGAACTGAAGGCCAGGATCCCTCCTCCCTATGTTCCTTTAGAAGCTTTGCTCTAGAAGCCCCCATCTGCAAGAGAGGACACAGTCTCCTGCGAGCCCTTGACCCCTTCCTCATGGCTGCTTCCTTCTGTCTCTCCAGGTGATGCCCCGCTGCAAAAGGTTTCCCTGGCCCAGAATTCCCGCTACTACCTGAGCTGCCCTGTGGAGTCCCGCCATGCCACGTACTCATGGCGCCATGAGGAGAATGTGGAGCAGAGCTGTGAGCCGGGCCACCAGAGCCCCAGCTGCATCCTTTTCATTGAGAACCTCACAGCCCGCCAGTATGGCCACTACCGCTGTGAAGCCCAGGAGGGCTCCTACCTCTGGGAGGCTCAGCACTGGGAGCTGCTGCCTGAGGACAGAGCCCTGGCTGAGCAGCTTATGGGCCGAGCCCAGGTCCTGGCAGCCTCTGTCTGGCTGGGGGTCCTGCCCACACTTATACTTGGCCTGCTGGTCCACTAGAACCTCCACGGGCTGGGTGTGCCCCAGGGTTCGGCAGCCGAGGGGCATCGGAAAAGTGTCACACTCAGAAGCCGGCTGGCCCGGGAGCTCCATGCCCACTAATTCCTCCAGGGGGACTGAACAATCCAGTGGTGAACAAAGGGCCTGGAGATGTCCAGCCGCAGGCGGCTGCTGGGCCCCAGGTGGGGTGGGGACAGTAAGGGACTGGAGAATGAAGGCGCTGACTGTGAAGCTGGGCCATCAATGACCCAAGACTTTATCTTCTCAAGAATATTTTTTGAAATCTCCTCACACTTGACTTCATGCAGTGATGCACCTCGCCCAAAAGCCTGGCAGTGGGGTTTGGGAAGGAGAGCTGGGACCCCATCTTGAGGCCTGAGTCCTCTGGGACTTGCTGTACCCAACTGCCTCCTTTCCTGCCCTCCCTGCCCCACTGCTGGGTGGCCAGTGTCCCTGCAGACCCAGGGCTGCTCCTGCAGCTCCCTCATAGCCTGGGTCCCACCGGACAGCGCCTTGCATGTTTATTGAAGGATGTTTGCTTTCCGGACAGAAGGACGGAAAAAGTTCTATTTTTATGTTAGACTTATTTCATGTATAGCTACTTCCGACTGCATCTGTATGAAAATACCAAAACTCCATGCTGCGGGGGGAGGGGGGGTTTGAGGGAGGGCTGGGAAGGGTGGGTCGGGGCTGATCCCAGGCTGGGGCTCTCTGGGATGGGATCAGAGTCCAGGGACAGGCATGGGTTTGAGGGGAGTGGCATGAGCTGGCTCTGCCCTGGGAGCCCAGTCTGAGGGTGTGAGCCCCCAGTGTGGGGTAGTTGTGGGAGGGGGGGTGAGGGAGACAGGGGAGAGTGAAGGAGAAAACTGAGCCCTAGGTAGATTTGCCGTGGTCATTTTGAAGGAGGAGCCGGGTCCACAGGGGGGAGGTTCCAGGACTCTGCCCTTGGCGTTGGGGGTTGGGGGGCGGGGGGTCTTCTCCCTTCCCTTCAGCCCCCTTCCCCAGGGGCTGTGCTTCCATGCTCCTAGCCTCCCACCTTCAGCTCAGGACATGTCCTAACTTAGGCTAAACTGTGAAAATTCCCGTGGGGATGGCCCAGGCCGAGCTCTTCAAGTGGGCTGCCCTGCCCCCAGTCCATGGATTTCAACTGAGAGCTGGCCTTTCTCCAGCTGTGTCTGGGGGCAGGGCCTGGGGCCGGGGGCCTTCCAGCTTCCGCCCCTGTATCTCTTCTCAATGCACTTTAATAATGTAACATATTACTAATAAACAAGCTATTTATTTACTTGTGCCTGTTCCCTGTCTTTGATACCAAGTGAGGAGGGAGGGGCTACTGTTTGCCAACCTTACAAAATTCCGACACACTACTCAGTCCCTCCTGCTTTGTGAATATCACTGTGCCAGCTTTCCCTGGTGATCCTGCAGCTGGCCGGCTCAGAGGACTTCAGCTAGTGAGGGGCAGAAATGAGGATGTGAACTTGTGATACTCAGCAAGTTTTGAGTCGATAACCACCCCATAACTTGGTACCCCTTTTCTTTCCCAGTCTCTACCTCCACTGCTTCCCCTGAGAGAATGGCCAGGGTCACTCTAGGAACAGCCACCAGGCCTCCCTATCTTCAAGGAGCTGGTCTGGGATGGGTACCTGACCAATTAGGGCCCCTAGATACTATAGTGAGAGAAGTGGGCAGGGGGCTGGGGGAGCTGGTGGTGCCAGGATGGGACCAGGGCATGGCTTTTTATTCTAGGCCAGGCTGCCAGGAAGGAAAGGGGTCTGGGAAAGAGGCGGGGGGGGGGGCTGCATGTTCTTCTGTTTGTCTTGTGAATCCTCTCCTGGAGACAGAGGAAGGACTGGAGTAGGGGCAGATGAGAAGGGGGAGGGAATGAGGAGGCTGCCCAGTGGATGGAGGTCAGGACTAAGGTCAGTGGCTCTAGGATAGATGTGGGGACAGTATGGGATAGTGCAGAGAGGAACCCAAATGTCCCCCTTCTTTCTAGTTTTCTCTGCCCTTGTTTGTTCCTTTCTCTTTGTCCCTGTCCCTGGTGGCAGAGACCTGAGCCTTTGAAATTTGTTGGGAGTTTCACTGTTGGAGCAGTAACTGCTAGAGAGGCTGATTTGGGACAGTTTCCCTAAGTAAGCTTAACTTCTGGTGGGCCATGGCAGACCCCATAAGACTGAGATGGTCCCTACCCATGGTGTTTCCTACCCACCTGGACTAGCCCAAGGCTGGGGATTCCCCCAATTCTTTCCTCGAACCCAGCCTTCCCAGAGTGACCAAGGTGGCCTAAGTGCTCCAGGTTATGAGCCTCCTCGAACCCAGTCTTCCCAGAGTGACCAAGGTGGCCTAAGTGCTCCAGGTTATGAGCCTTTGTGGGACCCAGAACTGCAGCTGGAACAGAGCCTTGGGCTGCTGTTGCTTATTGGGGTCCAAGGCAGACCCCTGCCCTGCAGAGCCTCATTGCCCTCTGTGCTCATTGGGTCTAGCCCCAGTCTATTTGTTCTCCAGCTTACAGCCAAGCCTCAACATTGCCTCCTCTTCAGTAAGACCCCAGACGGTGGCAAAACAAAGGGCAGGAGGAGTGGGTTCCAGTGCCTAAGTGAGCACAGCAGCCAGTGAATATGTGAGTTAAATTCTGGCCCTTCTGGGTCACCAGGTGACCTCTGGGGTAGTCCCTGCCCTCTCTGGACCTTGATGGCCCTTCCTTTTCCTTTTGGGAATGCTTGGGGTATCCTGATAAGCCTGTGGAGGGGACGCCACACTTCTTTGTCTACAGAGGAGAGGCCAGGCTGGGCGGGAAGCCGTGTGCATCCAAGCATGAAATGAGCCCATGTAAATCCCATGTAAATGAGCCATCAGGGAGGGGGCTGCTGGGAACAAGGTGTCTGTCTGTTTGCCCCATGGGTTAGCAGCATTAGGAGCCTTAGGCTGGTAGTAGGTGGACAAGACTGTTGAGCTGGGCCTAGTGGTGGGCAGATCTGTTGCAGGGATAGCCACAGGATATCCATGGTGTCAAGGCTAGGGATGGGAGCTAGACACATCTTTCTGCCTCTGTCTTGTGCATCCTCTCTGGGAGGCAGAGAAAGGACAAGACCGAAGAACCAAAGCCTAGTCTCTAGGGGAGTTCAGGGAGCTGGAGACCTTCTTGCTTCCCCTTGGTCCCTTTCATAAATCTGAAGGGCCACTTAGCTCTGCCCACTGTTCATACATCCTGTCATTCTCATTCCCCTGGCAGGGAATAGAGGCCTGTTTATCTCCAAAATCCCCTTAACTTTAGCAGGGTGTGGTGGCATGTATCTTTAATCCCAGCACTTGATAGGCAGAGGTAGGTAGATCTCTGTGAGTGAGGCCTGCCTACAGTGTAGTAGTGTAGACCAATGTCTCAACTCCAAACAAACAAACAAACAAACCCTTTACTCCCTCCATCTGCAGGCCCCTGGGCCACCATCATGCTCTGTGACTCTTATCTCTCAGTCCTTCACCTACCATGGTTGGAACCTCATTGTCTTGACCCCTGTGATTTTTTCTTTGGAATGCCAGGAGGAAGAGCATTCCAAATAGAGGTTTTCTGATGATCTGAGATTCCCAGGAGGAGCCCTGGGGCCAACTTTCCTCAGCTTGTGTGCCCCAGAACTGTGGACAAGAGGAGGCTTTTGGGAGAGTATACCTGGAACCAGGCCCTGGGGGCCTAAAAGAAAAGGCACAGCTCTGCCATAGAGACCCTCCAGGGCTGGTAGGGGAGAGAAACTAGGGGCTGGATGGTGACCATTGATGAGGTGACCGTAGGTTGGAGGTGGGATCCTAGGGGTCACCCAACCTACCTGACATGCTCAGGGAAGGCTTTAAGGGGACCTTAGAGGATATGTAAAAGCCCGCCCCAGGAAGAGAATGGCAGTGGGAAAGGGAAGAAGCAGCTTTGCTAAGGTGGGGGCAGGGGTGTTATGGCCTGTGATCTCCCCACAAAGGCAGGAAGCCTTATCCATTACTTGCAGCTGCATCCCCAGCAGCTGGACCAGTGCCTGATTCATGGTGAGTGCACCATATACTTTTGATGACTAAGATGAAAGGAGGGAATGTCTGGCAGTGAGACTGGACAACTTCATCAGTGCCAGATGCTGGGAGTGAAGGTCCCCAACCTTTATCATGCTGGTACTAAGGAGCCATTGAAGGGTATTGAGCAGGGCTGGGGGAGATGGTGAGGGCCTAAGGTTCAGTTTTTCTCATACCTGATCTTTACCTGCCTCAATCTAAACACCTACCTTCCCCTTTGGTGTTTGGAATTCCTTCCATAGCCCAATTTTAGTCTACCATTATCTAAACAAGGATGTGGAGCCATCCCAGCTAGGGTGGGTGATCCCAGTGAGGGTGCCAGACAGGAGGTCTGTGGGTGTGGGCTGGTGGAACGGGATTGAAATAGCTAAATCAGGCTCAGGAAGTTCTTTTATGTTGGTATTGGTTAGCTAGGGGAGGAAAAAACTTTGGAAAACTAAAAACAAAACAATATTTTCAGGGTCACCAGTGGCCCTGAGCCAGCCCCACTAGGGGAATTGACATAGGACCACATCCTGGAGGCATTTACCCTGGGAGCATGTTGGCGCCTTTCTGCAGGATGATGGCTATGCCAGAACTCTGGTACTGAGCCCAACACAGGGCCTAGCACTCAGATAAGAAGTTGCTTCAGTTCAGGCACAATGAATGGGTTTAGTGGGGGCATAGGTAGAGGTAAACACATCCTTGGGGCTGAACCTCAATCCCTTGGGCAGACACATGGCCTGTTACTTGATCGAGCATGACTCCTGCAGGTATAGACATCACTAATCAATTGTGGCATTTCTTTCTACTGAGTTTAGATGAATGATTTCCTCTACAACTGCAAACTTCCAGGGTCACTAAGCCTTCCCAGTGTGACTCATTTGTTTAAGATGTACGGTAAGTATAACAGACACACTAGATTTCAGAAAATAAATTTGGATCTGTTGTGCTAAATAAAAACCTAAAAATTAATCTCTATTTTGTTTTTAAGATTAGGGTTACACTGTGTGACTCTAGCTGGCCTGAGACTTACTTTGTAGACCAAGTGCCTCAAACTCCTGGAGGATTCTCTTGCCTCTGCCTCCAGACTGCTGGGATTACAGGTATGTGCCACCATACCCAGCTAATTTTCACCTATTTTTAAAAACTTTTATTTAATGCAGCTTACTAGAAACGTTATAATACTGTGTGTGGCTCAATATGACATTTCCACTGAACAGTACCAATATAGAATAGCCACTCTGTGAGAGAGGGGAATTTTGTTGTTTGTTCACAACTGAATCTCCAGCATCTAGAATACTTCTGGGCACATAAGAAGGTGTTTCTAAAAGTATTTATGGACAGAATGAAAGAACCCACATTTTGCAGGAAGAGACGAATTGACCTGATGGAACACATTTACTATCTTATGCCTATGTGTGATCTACCACTGTGCTACCATCTCCACTGGTGCTTTCTGATTTGTGTCACTTCTGCTACCCAGGAGGGCAGCTCAAGGGAGACTTGGGTGAATGGATGAGTGAATGGTTCCCTTGAGAGTTCTCTAAGAGAAGACTTTCAATTCCTTCTGTTCAGGAAGCAGAGCAGCTTGCAAATGCTATGGAAATCACCTCTCCAGGCAGTGTTTGCATATGGGGGTGCAGAGGATGCTTCCAGTCCACTTCCTGGCCCCAACTCTTGATCCCTGGGGACAAAAGAGGATGCTGGAGGAAAATACTGAAGACCTTGAGCTGGTGGTGGGGTTGTATGTGACTTGTAGGGGAACAGGGCCACCTTAGTCTTTTCCCAATGAACAAGGGTTTTAGCCTGGAGCATCCTTGTCTCTCAAATCGAACAGGAGCCTAAAAATAGTCTGCAGTTCCAGCCTCCCCCACAGCCGCCCGCGCCAAGCCGGGGCCCTGCGCCTGCCGGCTCCTCGGCAATCCAGACTGTCTGCACAATCTGCCCCAGCCACTGGCCAGCTCCTCTGCGTCCTGACCCTGGGGACCCTGAGTCAGCACTCCCCTCCCTGTCCTGCTGAGGTCTGCTGCCTGTTCTACCCACCCAAACAGACTGGGCCCACTGGGCCCTGTACCTCCAGATGCTGGTGACCTATCTACTTGGTTCTTTTGGGGACTTAGGCAGGCTTGGATGTAGGGAGCATGCTCTAGGCAGTTGAACCTGTAGGGCAAAGCAGAGCATGTGGCAGAGCTAGAACCACTGGGGCAGCTGGTTAACACAGGATGGAGGGTCTGGCCATGGCTGTTGGTTCCTTCC